TCCAATTCTCATCACCATCCAGTTCTCATCACAAGTATCCAGTTCTAGTTGTATCGATCAGGATACAACTCCAAGTGTTCGTTACCGTAGGACAGGCTATCGATAGATGTTTTCTTCCCTGCAGGGGTGCACCAACTTAACCGCCACGCTCGATTAACTCCGGCCGGACACACTTTCCTAGGTCATGCCCGGCCTCGGCCAAACAATACGCCGCAACCCGACCTAGGCTTAATAGAGAGGTCAGCACGCCGGACTAAACCTATGCCCCAGGGGTCATGGTCCATCTCCCCGGGAACTCCTGCACGTTGCGTGGGCGACCGGTGAGCAGACCTAGCTACCTCCTTCAAAAAGGTAGGTGCTTACCATTCCAACCCGGCGCGCGCCGCTCAGTCGTTGACGTCTATTAAGCTTCGGTTGATGTATACGACGCAGAACGCCCATACTATGCCCACGTGATGGTTAGTGCTATCAGGCCAGAGGCCCCTCGGATCAAATATCAAAATCGTAGTGGATTAGGAATGCATGGTAACGAGCAGAGACTCACGATCGATGTGACCCCGTCGCCCCGTCTCGAGTACTTGCGGCAAGGGCTAAGAATGCCCAGCCACGGCTCGTAAGTATCTCGCGGACACCTTCCAGGTCAACCCGACTCCACATCACTCGCTATTAAGCTCGCGCGGGTACCCCTCAGGGTCGACCCGTCTTTAGTAACATGGTTCAGTGTAAAGTCATAGTAACCATAGTAACTGTGTGCCTAACACCAAAGGGAAAACCCGAGGAATCACCCCCGATGAATTCCACTCGATGTTGTCATCAAGGTGAACGTAAGAGGATCCACCATCGAGGTTCACGTTTGATGGGTTGCACGACAGAGTCGTAACGGAAGTGGTTAAGGAGGAAATCACCCTCGATGACCTTGACCGTATAGCTACACTACGGAGATCTCATCAGGAGTGATGTAAGAGGTTCCACCCTCGGCACTCGATGGTAACTCTGCAGAGTCGTACAACTAGGGGGGTGATGTGCGGTGTCGGGGCCTGGACATCGATCACGTTGATCGAGTCATCGAACATAAAGCGAGGCAACTGGGACAAGGTGGGGTCACTGATGGATCTCTAACCAACCTATACTAAGCAGTTTAGAATAAGCAGGTAAGGTATGAAAGCAGGTAACAAAAACAGGCTATGCATCAGAGTAGGATCATACATAAAGCAATAGCAGTTCTAATGCAAGCATGAGAGGGAAAGAAATGGGCGATATCGGAATGCTCATGGGGGTTTTGCTTGCCTGGTTGCTCTGGCAAGGAGGGGGTCATCATCGACGTAGTCGATCACAAGGGCAGCATCGGTCTCGGGGCCTACCGGAGAGAAGAGGGGGAAGAAACAGTAAATACAGAGCAAACAATGCATCACAAGGCATAACATGGCAATACGCAGCGCTAGGAGTGTACTAACGTAGTGCTGCACGATACAGGTGAAGGGGGGACTCAACCGGGAATGTTTTCCTGGTTTCGGACCTGTGTCAGACAGATGACCGGAGGGGGAATATTCCATGTCAGATAGTTAGAGGCATCTGACAGGTAAACGAATCGCGTATTCGGATTCGTCTCATCGTTCTGAGCAACTTTCATGTAGAAAACATTTTCATCCGAGTTACAGTTTATTTTATATGATTTTTCAAAGAATTTAGACATTTCTGGCATTTATTTTATTATCTAATTCAACATTATCTAGAATAGTAGTGGATGACGTCAGCATGACGTAGAGGTGATGTCAGCAGTCAACAGGACGGTTGACTGGGGTCAAACCTGACCTGTGGGTCCAGTGGGACCCACATGCCAGCCTCATAGTAGTTTAATTAGGTTTTAATAAAACTATTTAGGATTAATTAAGGGTGGGTCCTACTGGCCAGTGAGTGATTAGAGATTTAAGTAGCTAATTAATTAATTTACAGATTTAGTTATTTATAAGAATCATTTTAACAAGCAGGGCCCACATGTCATGGAAACAGGGCCAGCCAAGCCAGCATTGACTGGGTCAACTGGGCCAGGTGGGACCCAGGGTCAGTGGCTGAGCCATGGGGCCCGCGGCGCCACATCGGCGTCGAGTCAGTTCGGCCACCGGAGTGCGCCGGCGAGGCCGAATGGCGGCGAAAACTCCGGCGAGCCCGGATCTCGCGTACGGGTGGCCATCTGCCGCGTTTTCGGGTGCGTTGGAAAGCTGGCGGTGGGCCGCATCGGATGGCGGCAGTAGCAAGGCTGGGGACGCAGCGTAGCTACAACGGCGAGCACAACGGCGCACGACCGGAATCGGTCGCGAGAGGAAAACGGCGAAGCGGGCGCGTTCAAACTAAACGGCTAGGCCAGACGGCATTTGCACGTGCGGTCGAGCACGATGAGCAGCTGCGCATGACCATTTGGTCGCCGGACGGCTGCCGGCGATGAGGTTGCGCGGTGGCGAGCTCGGGCGAGTCGAGATCGGGCACTAGCGGTCGAAAGCGACGGCGATGAAAAGGGTGGGAGGAAGGCGGAGCTCACTTTGAGAGCGTAGGGTCTGGGCAGCTGGCGCGGGGAGAACCGGTGGAGCAGGTCGACAGCGAGGTCGCGCGGTGATCGTAAATGAGGAAGAGGAAGAATGCAACGGCGGTGGCGCTCCTGGTCCCGATCCAGTGTCGAGGAAGAAGAGGCGGACCACGACGGAGCTCCCGGACTTGTCGGAGCGGCGAACGGTGGCCGCGGGATCGACGGCGGCACGTCGGCGACCGCGCTCGGGCGAAGACAGAGAGGGAGAGGGTGAAGCGGCGCGAGGGGAGGGGAGGGCAAGTGGGGGCTAAGGTTCGCATGGATGGTCGCGGGGTCGGCCTTTATGCTCCAGAGGAGCCGGCAGATGGCCGGCACGCGGCCAGGGAATGGCCATGGCAGCCAGATGCCTCCCACGAGCCCCTCCCTCCTGTAGCGAGGTGGGAGAAGCCCAGGTTGGGTTGGGCCAAGTGCACTGTGCACTTAGGCCCAGTCCCCAACAGTAGTCTAGGCCTTTTTTCTATTTTATCTCTGTTTTATTTCCAGAGATAGTTTTGCAATAATTTGAGCCATCAAACGACTTCGTAAAAATGTAAAACTTGGTCACATAAATACTATGGTATATTCCACATTGCCACAGAAAGTTAAGGAAATTTTGGAATCCTTTGGCATTTTTCATAAATGAATTTGGGCATTTATAGTGTTGTTTTGGCACTGATTTAAATGCTTTGTCCCACTTTGACTTGATGGTGATGTTGTTTTCCTTAACAACAAGTTGTTTTGGAATATTTTCTAGATGGCGAACATTTTTCCAGCATCTTTTGTGCAACTTCAAATTTTACTTTGAATTTGAATTGAGTTCACAGAAGGATTGTGAAATGAGATATTTAACCACTGTGATTAATCAATGCAAATGATGATGACTTTGCATGATCATAAGGGATTACTGTGGTGTGATACTGGGGATGTTACAATGACTGCGACTATGGCCGGGGAACCGGTTTTTATAGCAATGGTGGGCGACAGAGCGGCACGGGCGACGCTTTCTCCGTCGGCGCGCCATTTCAGTGCTGACGCGAGTGAGCGGTCGCGTCCGCTTTGGCCGGGCATGAATGCGGGCGCTGACCGAAAACACGCGAGAGAGCGGAGGCGTTTTTGGTGTGCCGGAGTGGTCAGAAGAGGGTGTGGGATCTGTCCGGATTCCCGGAAAGCCCCACGTTTGTCTCCAATTTGCAGGAGAAATCACATCCAGACCGTGCTGCGGACTGATACATGCCCACGTTTGATGGCTTCGTTGTCTGGACAGCGTGGCCCGAATGCATGCGGGAGGTTTGCGGGTCGACGTTGGAGAAGCCCTAAGCATAACTAATTCAATGTTTTTTTAGGCAAATTACGTGTTGCGAACATGGCAATTCTTCTTAGGAAGCATAACAAATTTGAGCAAAATAATTAAACATGTCAAGATTTGTCATGATTGTTAAAGGGAATTGTGAGGCTCGCGACCCGTAATTTGCTAGTATAAAAAACGTTTGGTTTATCATGTTTAAAAGTCTGACATCACATTTATAGGACTGTCCAAAGAACAGAAATGAAAAAGGCGCGTCTCGATCGGCGCAGGGGGGCGAGCAATCATTCGACCCGTCGACCGGTCACGACAAGTCCAGGCCTATCGCCCGTCCGGATGCGGCCGGTCCCAGGTCGCGCCCAACACCGGAGGTGGCCAGACGTGGCGAGCTAACGAGTGGCGGCAGTCGTTCAGCAAATGTAAAATGTGTACGGCATCGAGCTCGATCGACGGACGGACGGCCCGCTGGTAGTGCTATTGCTGTGGTTCGCGGATGGCTACGTGAGTACACGCGCGCGGTCGGTGGCGAAGCTAGCGCGCCTGGACGTGTCGCCGTGGGCATGCCGGCTTCAAGAAGGAAGATATCTCGAGTCCATGGTTCGGTCGACCTTTCGCCACGAGATGCGCACCTCGTGTGGAATACTCCCTGGAACGCAAACGAGAGGCATACCTGGTGTACAATAGTGGTACAACGGGATCGCTGTTTTGGCTCAGAGAAGCATATGTTTCTGGATGACCAGTTAATTTTAAATAAATAGTAAATAAATTTTTAAAAGTTCTGAATGTTTACACTTTATTTTATTTTATTTTTCACCGACAAAGCACTGCTATTTCGTTAAAATTTGTTTACTATTTGTTTTGAATATTCATCCGCCTAGGGTAAAAAAGACAAAATGAAAGCTACATTAAAAATACACTGATTCAGCTGTGTTCAGCAATCATGATCACTTCGGCAGAACCAGAACTTGCAATTTTAAAGTACACCCATGAAAATTGCTGCGAAATTAAACATACAGAAGATAGTACTACAGAAAATTGAGTCTGTCGAGCAAACTGTTAGAACACGAATTGCCTTGCTGCGTTGTGGCAGGCTTTGGATACATAACATGAATGATTTGGAACAACAGTAGTGGTAGACTAAAAGACAACCGTGTCAAGCATGGTACCTAGGGTCTGAACTATGTTCGACGACATCAGATTTGAGACATGCTCTTCTAGATGCTTCTTCGCATCTTGCCGTCCCACATTAGCTATCGCTAATTTCTCAGGGGACAACTCATCCTCCTCTTGCACTGCCTTGTTGTACTTGATGGCTAGGCTCAGCATTTCCTGCACGTAAAAACACGGCCAGAATCTAAGAAACAGCATCGACTTTCACCCTGCATTATATTAACAAAAAGGATCGTCCAGTGGAAGTAGAAAGTTGAATGCTACACACCTGAACAGTCTGCTCATTGGTTTCTGAATGTGCGTCAAATTTCTTCAGAATTAATCCATCAGTCCATTTCTTTTTGTGAAGGTTAAGCAGCATCTTCTCCTCGAGCTCATTTTTGCGGTAATTTATTGCAATAGAGTAGTAGTGTCTATTGAGCCCATGAATAAGAGCCTGGGAGTAAACAGACAGTATAAGCATTTATGAATGAACAATACAGAAATTTCTAAGCTATCATCTAATAGAATCAGCATTTTACCTGAATAGATGGCTTATTCAGGTGCCCAACATTGGATGTTGTCTGACGTGGCTCCTGCCCAAGCATCATGGTCTGAGGGTTAATGAGACGAAATGCATCGATGACCACCTTCCCCTTGACACTCTGGATGGGGTCGATCACGACGGCAACTGCCCTGGGGTTCAAAGCTTCGAAACTCTGCAGGTTCAGTATTCAACATTATAACACATATAAGCTTTATTACATGTCTGTTTGCCTCAAGACAACAAACTCTTTTCACAAATTTATACTCCCTCCGTTCCAAATTACTTGTCGTGGTTTTAGTTCAAATTGAACTAAAACCACGACAAGTAATTTGGAACGGAGGGAGTACAAGATAGGCGAAGTATGTGTATGTGTGCACCTGTTGAGTATTGATGTCAACACCCGATAGCCAGCAACCAAAACCAGGATGAGAGTGATACCACCCTACCACCATTTCTGGCCTGTCAAAGTAATTCCAAGTATTAACTGACAAGTTTGTCAAAAAAAGAACATCCAAGGTGGCAATGATATAGCTATTGCCAACAATTTCTTCAAAAAATAATTGGGAAAATTGGGAAACAAAGGGTGCACATGATGTTCACTGCACAGCTGAGCATACATCCGTAGTACTCCATACACGGTAGTTTTTTAAAGGATAATATGTAGTAATTTCTTATCGGAACCTTCAAATAGCTTGTAAGAGACCCGTAACTACAAATAGTTGAACAACCATCTTTAAAGTCCAGGCTCCGGCAAAGACCACATTAAGAGCTAGCATCAGAGCTACTTACTAGAAAGGTAACAGAACCATGGACGGTGAACCATGGACAGTGTATATGTGCTTAACTATAACACAATAAATTGATGATTACGCGTTGCATTCCTAGAACGGGTTGCAAAATCATTTTTGGAACCAATTCAACATTTATTTCTAATAGAAAGACTGTACGGGAGACCCATACTGTATAAATGTGAGCGGCAGGATTTGAACCCTGATGGGTGGAGTTGTGAAGTCGTGCCCCCACAACTCCTCCACCACACCAAAAGGTGGTTCTCAATCAATTTGACAATTGATATTGCTAAAAAGGATATGAAATTATTCTGTTGGCAATGACACAATTCGAGATTCTGCTTGAAGCTATGTTGCTCAGAATCTATTACTGACGTCTTTAACAATATGATGTAAACAATAGTTCCAACTTGCTGGCACAGCTTTGGTTCTATAATGAAACATAGCTGAATTAGTCGAAAAGGCAAACCATAACTGGTTTTAGAGAAGATTACATGTCAAACTCATAGACCTAAGGTACACTTATCTGAACTGTAAACAAAATGAATTCGCATGTACGAAGAAATATTAAGTTTCACAAGTCAGCTGTAGGGCCACCAATATTTCTATGATAAAACACATGAAGATGTATTATCCTAACACATTCAACTGAACACAAGCTCAATTGAGAAAGAACAGAAGCATAATTCAAAACTACCACACGAGTTAAGCCATCTAATCTAAATAAAGTACTATCTGAGTTATGTAATACCCCTGACTTATCCATTCACTAGGCTCATCATCATGCCCATCATATCGTCTATGGAGATCATCATCAACGATGGATGATACATAACCAAGGGTGGAGCTTCTCTAGGGGCAGAGCCTGTTAGAAGCCCGCCAACTCCAGGAAAATTCTTAATTTACAGTTAGATGCTAAGCCAGTACAAACATGTCTTTCTCCAAAAGTGATTCAAGCATATCTTATCAGATTGGTTCACTCGATATTCGCTTCTTCTGTGTATTATGTTACACTATGTATGCAATATATCCCTAGAGCTGGTAAAGTGGTAGCTATGAAAGGGCTGTGAGGAGTATAGTCCAATGGCGGATCCTCCACTGGATCACTAATGATGAAACCTTGAAATTTTCAACTAGACGATGATAATGAACTGTGCTCCAAGTAACTACATATCTTTCTAAATGCTATAGTGAAAGCAAATGCTATAGTGAAAGCATTGAACAAATGGAAGTGTGAAATCAAGCAAGGGGTAAGCAAATAAAGTACCAACAGATACAAGAAGCTTATGGGAACGGACTAGGATACCATGACGTGCATCAGGGCTGACTTTAGTCACTGACATGTGCCTAAGGGAACTATAGCAACTAAGATGTAATTAAGAAAGATATAGCAACAATATACATCAAACAATGATCCAAAATCGTCGTATATAGTACTCCCTCTGTTCACTTTTGTAAGACATTTTAGACAGCTGAAATTGAACTGTTATGGGTGTTGTCTTAAATGTCTAAAACACCTTACAAAAATGAACGGAGGGATTACTCCATATGGCCTATCTTCCACAAATTAACATCTGGAACTAATAGCAAATCAACCACACAAGCCTGAACAAAAAGTATCGGCTCAGGTGCGTAAATCAATTGGCATAATAAGTTGATGAGGTCGATCCTTTTCAGCTTATCAACGAGTATGGACAAATTAAGGGCATCAAATCTGGCGCGGGAGAGGGGAAAACGACAGGGCCAACAGATCTACGATCCGGATCGGCGGCCATACCTGCCGGTCTGCTTGAGCATGTCGAGCATGTTGGTCTGGAAGACGTGGTCGACGGCCTCGACGCTGACCCCCGTCCCGCTCTGCGGCATGGCGAAGACGTCGACCACCCGGACCGTGTAGTCGTCGACGAACTCGCCGAGCATGAGGCCCATGACCTCCATCGGCACGCCGGCCCTCCCTGTAATTTCCGACCGGTTAACCCTAGCTTCGTGGAGAGGGAGAAGGGCGTAGATCGGAACCAAAAGGGAGCTAGCTTGAGGGACTAACCGTGCTTGAGCATCTTGAGGAGGGCGAGGGACGAGATGTAGACCTGCTCGGAGGAGTCGAGCAGCGGCGAGTCCGACGGCGGCTGGCCCATCCCGCCGGCGCCGAAGATCCGCTGCAGCCGCTCCATGGCTTCTCTGGGTTGTTCGATTTGGTTCCTGAGTGAGGGGGGCGCTTGGGGAGGACGGCGTTTTTTTTTCTCGGCTTTGTCTGCTGCTTCTGTCTTCTACTGCGACCCCTGGATTTCTTTCTTCGAGCACACGAAGCTAACACCCGAGCTGGGCTTGAAGTGGGCTGGCGTGGCGAACTCTGTCTGTTGCATGGGCTGGCTGGTTTGAAGTGGGCTCCCGTGGCGAACTCTGTCTGCTGCATGGGCCGGCTGGTTTGAAGTGGGCTGCCGCGACGAACCCTGTCCGTTGCATGGGCCGGCTGGTTTAAAGTGGGCTACCGTGGCGAACTTTGTCCGTTGCATGGGACGGCTGGTTTGAAGTGGGCTGCCGTGGCGAACTCTGTCCGTTACATGGGCCGTAGTGCCGACCAAGCTGGGCTTGAAGTCTTTCAGATTTCGTCAGGTCTCTTAATATCTCAGGCTTTCGCTAAAGAGAAATAATTTTCCGTTCTAAAGAAATATCTCCTGTTGCGAATGAACCTTTGTCAAGCTTTGGAAATCCTCCATCTTGAAAAAAGCTTACACTCCCAGACTTTTATTGTTGTGTTATATAGTATTACCTCCATCCCCAAATTATTGTTGTGTTATATAGAATTTCTTATTAATGGAGAAAGTACTGATAAAATATGCAGGTAATTGTAAAGAACTTTCTCAACCATGAACCTTGCAATCTTAATGCTGGAAATCAACTTTCTGTATGCAAAGCAATAAAACCAGCTCGCAGAAATGGCATGACATAATTAAAGCATGTACATAATTTGTTTTCGCTTTAAGATAATTTTGTTTTCGCAATCGGCATGGCATTATTGCCGGGAAAGGCCACGTTAATTCCCACCAAAATCGCAACCATTCCACGATGGTGTGTTTTCCCCTTTACACCACGGCAGCCGCGCTTCTTTATGTTATCCATCCCCTCTCGCAAGCAAAAGGTGTGCAGCACTCGGGCCACTGAACTTGCATTGGCACTGTTGTCGACGCGAGTGGATATGCTCCGAATGATTCATCCATCCGGCCTTCCCCGCCCTTTCCCCGCCCTTTCTGGTTTCTCCTCATTATTATTTGCCCTCGCCAAAAGCTCGTTGCCCGTCAAATCACAGGGCCTCGACTCGAAGGCAAAGCCTTCTCCGCTAGCGACGAGATCGCGGGTGGGGTTTTTGGCCGCTTTTGGGGGCGCCGGCAGAGCACATGAAAAATCTGCTCCGCTCAGCTCTCCTTGCCGAATTGTCGTTCTCGCGCCAGACCATGACGATGACATGAGCCTGCAATGAAGATCAAAACGAATTAGGCTAGCGCAACCCGGCGGCGGACGGCAAAGAGCTGACACGTAACAGTGATCGTTCCTTCTTCCAGCGTGCGAACAAAGCTTGCCCACTGTACTGACGACGTCGTCGTCGTCCGCGGCGATCGCTGCTTCTCAACCTAGCTAGAAGATAGAGTAGCTCGATCTGAGCCTGACAGTTGGTGTTTGGAGTGCTGGGACGCCGCGGCACGACGCCGCCGCGATAGCGACGGTGACTGGACGTGTCTGGAAGGGTATGGTGTTGTGCACTTCAAGCATATCTTTCTCGGAAATCAGTTTCTATCTTGCCTCCGACTGTTGAGGTTGAGGAGAAAGAAAACTTGCATTCTTTTTGTTGAAAGTAAGAGCATCTTTAACAGTCGCGCTACGCGTGGTACTCTAAAAACCTTTTACAACGCGTAGATCGTTCTGTTTTTATGCGGCGAGCAGCGCTTGCTCTAGCGGCTGCTCAAAAATTTAGCTCGCGCGAGCCGCTCCAGCAGGCGCTGCAAACTTAGACAGCGGGCGCTCTCGCACAAACTACATATACACTCCAAACAAATATAAAACATAGGCATAGATTAATAGATAAAAAAATGATACATAGATAGTTCAACATAGTATACATAGTTCATCATAGTATATTTTTTTTGAAACAAGGCAACAGATTTGCCATTTCATTGATTAAGAAGAAGAGTTTGTAAGACATACACCGCCACACCGGCACAACACAAACGAATTACTCTTGCGGCATTACATTACCCAAATGCTTGGCACCCGCAATAGCCCAAAGTGACGCTTCTTCCTTTATAGCACGAACTACCACCGCCACTGCGCCGCTTTATTCCTAAAGACACGCGCATTTCTTTCTTTCCATAGCTCTCATCCAACAAGATGCAGCAGGGAGGACAAAGCCTTCTTTTGATGCGCATGGCCGATGACCCCTTCCCACCATGCCTTGACCGTGTGGAAGCTATGCCAGGGGCGCCGTGTTGACATGGAGATCTAGCCAAGTGAAATATCGTTCCAGACTCGCATAGAGAACCGACACTTGAAGAGGAGGTGAGCCGTCGTTTCCCGCGCTTGGTTGCAGAGAGGGCACCGGTCGCGATTTGGCTATCCCCTATGTTGAAGCCTATCTGCCGTCCAAATTCTGTTTTGAATGACCAACCAAGCAAAGAATTTACATTTTGGGGGCGCCCACACCTTCCAAACCATGGCCTGCATATTGGAGCGAACAAGACCAGCGAACTGGGCTTTGTAAGCCGAAGATGTAGTATAGGTCCCTCCATTAGTGAGCTTCCACATAATAGAATCATTGACCCCCGGTTGGATGGTGACATTGGCTATCATCCCCCACAGCGTGGTGAATTGTTGAATGTGTTCAAGCATCATCCCCTGTTGGGTGTCAATGTGAGTGACCCAAGCATTATACCCAATCGCCTTGCTCAATGTGGCCCCCTTTTTCCTTGAAATCTCAAAGATTTATGGTGCAATATCTTTGGGCCTCAACCCCTCTAGCCAAGATGACTCCCAGAATTTTGCAATTGTCCCATCACCAATAGTAACCTTAGTAGCTGCCGCGAAGAGGTCCATGTCGTCCTTGTTGCACGGCGTCTCCATGCCGCACCAAGCTCTTAGAGTGGCATCCCATTCAAGCCAAAGCCATCGCAAACGGAGCACAGTAGCAAACTTGGCAAGGTTAAGAATTCCTAGTCCTCCAAACTCCTTGGGTTTGCACACTTGCTCCCAATTGATTTTGCATTTACCACCGGACACCTTGTCAGAGCCAGCCCAAAGATAGGCTCGCCTCAAGCGATCAATCTTCATAAGCACCTCCACCAGGAGGTCAAGCGGTGTAAGGTGATAAATTGCCACCGCCGAGAGGACCGCCTTGACTAGGGTCATGCGGCCCGCAATAGCCACATGTCTCCCTCTCCATGGTGCAAGCTTCCCGGCGGCTTTATCTTCTAAATGTTGCATGTGAACCCTCCTTAACCTTTTGATCGCGAGCGGCAGGCCTAGGTATCGGATGGGGAAGGATGAACGACAAGCTGGGAAGGACTGCAGGATGTCATGGAGGTCAATGCTCTCACATCGGATAGGCGCAACAAGGCTCTTAGCGTAGTTTTTGACCAAGCCGGTAGACTCACCGAAGCAGGCAAGTGTAGTGGTGAGGAATTGAACATCCTCCTTTATAGGGGCACAGAAAAACACCGCATCATCGGTGTAGAGTGAAGCTCGAATGCCCGTGTGTCGACCACCAAGAGGGTGAAGCTTCCCTTGATCAGCGGCCTTGCTTAGAATATGGTGCAGCGGGTCGATGGCAAGCACGAAAAGCAAAGGGGACAGCGGGTCACCCAGACGGAGGCCACAACCATGCTTTATCGGGTCTCCGGCAATCCCGTTAAGCAAGACCCGAGAAGATGCCGAGGAGAGGAAGGCCGAGATCCGTCCTCGGAAGCGGGCAGGGAAGCCATGATGATTGAGCATGTCCATCAAATAATCCCACCTAACAAAATCAAACGCCTTCTTGATGTCGAGCTTGAAGAGCATTCGAGCTTCACTCTACGCCGATGATGTTCATCATAGTATATGTTGGCGTTCTGGGAACGGGGGTCCCCAGATCTTCCTGCCTACGGCCCATGGCGTGGCTTCGCTAGCAGGCCCGTACGGCCCATCTTCATCAACAAGGCACTCAAGACCTTCGCGAGGGGCCAAGCCTCGCGAGGCCGATGACACAAGACCTCCTCAGGAGCGGCCTCACCAGGCTGGCTCGCGAGAGGCGGAGAGTTCAAGGCCAGGCAAACCTCGTGTGGTTCTAGTGACGTGAGCCATGACGACCAAGGCCAGGCGGGCGCCAGCGCGCGCAGTGTCCTTGTTTCCTCTTCGGTGCTAAGGAAGCAAGCGGGGGCACGGAGTACCGAAGCATTAAGCAAAGGTTTCCATATCAGTGCAACAAGATCAAGACCAGCAGGACGGCAAGACGGAGGTCACCATGGAGCCCAAGGCGGCGTCATAACCAGAGCCTTTTGCAGGCGAAGACCACTTTTGTCAGGATAAGATGTACTAGTTGTCCCCTTTCAAAATGGTTGTTGTTGGCTCCCTTCCCGCTCAATATTTGGGGAGAGGACCAGGGCCTCTATGAATAGGACTAGCCACCACCATAGCTAGGGGGTCAGAAAAAGAGAGACCAGAACACACACAAGTTCGCCAAGCACAAGAACACCTCTCCTCAGGAGGCTGTTCTTCCCTTTGTACTGTTCATCCTCAGCCCGAGAGGCAATCCACCACCACCACACTGGAGTAGGGTATTACACCACAATGGTGGCCCGAACCAGTATAAATCTTGTGTCTTTTGTGTTGCGAGTTCGTCGAGTTAATCCGTAAGCTCTTAGCCGAGCTAGGACGTGGATCGGTAGGGGGGAGATCTTCGTGTGCACCCCAGAGTTCGAACCTTAAGGGTTTTGCTGGAACCCGTGATCTGACATTTGGCACGCCAGGTAGGGGTGTGCCGAAGCTTCCCTCCCGTCGCTCCGCGTCACATCGCTTCGTCGTCTCCATGGCGGACGTACGTTGCGCCCGCGCCGAGCTGCCCTCGCCACCCGCGTTGCTCAGACGGCCCCTGTCAGCAGGCCACCCCATCGCTCTCCGTCGCCTGCCGCCAACGCCGCCACCGGCC